CGCCATTTGCAAGTTACTTATTGTGGGATTCACTAATGTCTAAAAAGATTCCTCTGTAATTAGGATATCGACATGTCAAATGAACTCAAAAGGTATTGTACAATCTCTATAGATGGCGTTCAATTCGCAGTTTTTACCTACTCGTTAAACGCTGTTTAATGGCAGCAGATGAATTGATCACTGTTCTGTTGAAGGTGTCGAAGGTGTGCTGATGTGAACCAGAAATGTCGATACCACCAATTATGACTAACAGTACTGATCAGCAACATTTGAGATGAAGGGAACTCCTTCCATTTACAAATTGTATGCATGAGCTTATAACTTCCTGTAATTTAATTAATAATAGAAACAACACCTGACGTTTGTTACAAAAGTTACAAAAACATATTACTAATTATCCACAAATAATAATTCTTAGGATAATTAATAAAAAGTTATAATAACAAATATTGTGTTGTCTCATTCTTTAGGATTTCTAGATTTCTACTATATGTTTCGAATATATTATCCATTATCATGATGAATAATGTATCTTTCCTCTAATATTGTATATTGATTTTCATTAAGACAATAATTAGTCCGGTATTGAGTCGATGTATTCATTTCTGACACCTTCTTTTTCATCACCAATTTTGTAAAAGAACATCCCAAAAAAGGGTTATTCTATTTACTTGGACTAGATGATCTTAATGACTGTAACTGACATATACTATTCTTGTTTGCCTATACAGAAATGGAAAAAAGAGCAAGTAGGAGTTAGCCAAAATAAAATTACAATTCGTAGCTCCTTATACAGGAAACTGAGTCGTCAATGGTCAATGAGTGCAGTCCATGACGATTATCATAAAGGATGGTAGATATGCTTATGATCATCGAGTACAGCTAAGTTTCCGCGAATGACCTATGAACAACACTCAACGGCAGAGTTTCTTTCGTCCGTCCGTGTCGCCGTCGTTGGTCGCGCCTCAAAAGTCTTGGCGTAGTTCGCGTATGAGAATAATATTGCGTTTTCATAGCCACCTAATTACCTAAAAAACCTAACGGTACCCATTCAAATTCAACAATAAAACCGCTTCGCATTGGCTACCCACCGTGGCGAATATACCGACCACCACGGACCATTGCTTGTCCTCGACAATAGATTACCTGTTGCACGGTTACAGTATTATACGATGTGTGTGTGTGTGTGTGAATCGCAACCAATTTACAAAAATCAGCTATTCTCAACAACGTCTAGGTGACTTATACCTACGACAACACCGTTCTTTAGAGAGGTTAACTAAATGTTTAGACATATTGTAATGCAGTAGATCGAAAAGTGTATATTGGTATTTACAGAATAATTTTTGATTCCTTCATCATCGTCATAAGGGCGTCAGTCCTAAGACTGGTTGGATACGCACCTCCATTCCTTTTTATCCTGAGCTAATCTTCGGATTTCCCTAAAACTAGAACATCCCACATCCTTAATTATTTGCGAACTGTAATCTAATCTAGTTCTACCTCTCCTCCTCTTAAATCCTGTTTCTGAGTTTAATATATCTCTGACTAGACCTTCATGCCTGAGAAGGTGTCCTACCGACCTATCTCGCCTATTTTTTATTGACTTCCATAGAGTCCTATTATTTCTAATACCTCTTCATTTCTAATCTCCTCTATCTACGGTATCCTCATTATTCGCCTGTAACACCACATTTCGAACGCTTCTAATCATTTCGTTCGCGAGCATAGAACTCCTCCTAAGTTGCACCCCTATGTGGGTAGATCTTCAAGGTAGTTTATGAGAGATAAGGGAAACTAAAGTGTTCATGCCTATCTGTTTCATTTGTATACTTTTAAAGAATTCTAGAAAGGAATCCTACAATATCGACCAGCGAGTTGTTTTTAAAGACTATGGGGTTCAAAGTTGTAAACATTTAGCAAAGCAGATACCCTTTGGTTAGTCATCAAATCAAATACTAGTAAAAGAAACTATTGTAATTCAAACCATATTCTAAACAAAGTAGCGATGTCAAATGGAACAGCTGTGTCAAAGAAATTATTAGCCGGGCATCATGACTATACTCCTCCCCAGGTTGTCCCTGGATTACATTTGTCCATCAAATTTTTCGCAGGCAACTGTGACAGGAATCCTCATAGATTTTTGTTGGTGCGAACACTTGATGGTAGTATCAGTCTCACTGACTTTCTTCGTCAGTCTGATTACCCAGAAAAGGACTACGACTAAGTATTTGACTCTCTGAATAATTCCTCAAGGTATCTAACACAGGTGTTGAAGTTGGAACGACAATTTCAATCGACGGATCACCTAAGGAAGTTGATTCCAAGACCGCAACCATCAAAATCCGAAAATAATTTCCTAATAGTTGAAATATCTAAATATGAACTGCTCTAATTGACATTCCATAGACACTCTAGAGAAGAGCGCTGTTTACTAATACAACTGGCCGTATTTAGGAATTCCAGATGGTGTAGATTGGCTGCAGCATACATGTATACATAAGTACATGTATGTGGAAGTACCTGTACTCGACTTATTAGTCCTTGCTACGTATGAGAAAAGAAAAAGAAGAAAAAAAAAAGGGTCGACAATTAAAATCGCAACCATTAAAGGAATTGACCTCGTGGTGCGACACAGAAACTTCCTCGGCTCCTATTACAACCGATATTTAAGAGGCGATAAGCAAATTAACGACCGACAAGTCATATCTAGTCGAGTGACATTATCTACATCGGATATTGTTGGCGGAGAATAGCAGCCGGCTGGTTGTCTCGTGCGTCCTGCTCCTTATTAGTCTAAACATGGTATGCACGATACTCGATACACACTGTTTTCGATCGGAGATCTTGCGTTTTCTGCAAGACTTCCGGCCCTGCGCAAACAAGAACACGCAAAACGTACAGGATGATCTACTTGCTGTCCCAGCGCACTTTTAAACGTTTTCTTATTGAGAGATTAAGGAAAAAATATATGAATATACGACAGGTATATCTAGAAGGTCAGATTTGTCAGGATTGAGAAAGCAGTCGAGACTTAATTTAGAAATTTTAAAAAGTCACTAGATAAGTCCTATTAGTGGAGGGTAGATGGAAATATTTTTATCTTAAACTCCAGTTAATATTTTGACAGTTAAGTCGACGTTAGTTAATAACACAATTTTATCATCATCATCATAAGGTCCTCAGTCCTAAGAGTGGTTGGACACGCACCTACACCTTTTCCTATCCTGAGCTAAATTACATTTCCCTAAAACTATAACAACCCATATCCTTAACTATTTGGAAACAGTAATCTAATTTAGGTATACCTCTGCTCCTCCTAACTCCTAGTTCTGCTTCTAATATGTCTCTGACTAGCCTTCATGCCTAAGAAGGTGTTCTTCTATTCTTTCTAATACCTCCTCATTTCTAACCTTTTCTATGCACGGTATCCCCATCATTCAACTGTAACACAGACAGAGGAAATTAAGACAGAAGGGAAACGAAAGAGTATCCGCGAAATATCATTTACCTAAGTGCGAAATGTCGATGGTAGACTCAACCAACCAGAAAAAACTAAAACAGAGAAAGAGGGCGATGGAAGTCAATACCGAACCTGCGCCATGAAGAGCTAGTTACAGAAATACTTTCAGTAAGTTTAAGCTTTGATTAAAGAGGAGTAGAAGACCATTTAGACAGATGACCGTTCGCAAATGGTTAAGGATGGATGTTGTACTTTTCAGAAATTTCAGAATCGGAAAAAGTGAAGGTGCGTTTCCAACCAATCTTACAATTATAATGGAACAAAGAAGCTCATGGTGGTTAATATTTTGTCGAAACTGCCAGACACAAATGGCGATTGCTATCTTCCTAGATCTCATCAGCGCGTGGTAGACAGCTTCGATAGAATAAAGACCAACTCTGCTTGCTGTTTTGGCACAACGTATTATGAAATCCTTCATGTAGAACCTTATTGAACCTATTCCTCATCATCATAAGGTCGTCAGTCCTAAGACTGGTGGGACACGCACCTCCACTCTTTCCTACCCTGAGCTAATCTTCGCATTTCCCTACAACTAGAATAACCTAATCTAATCTAAGTCTATCTCTACCCTTAGTAACTTCTGTTTCTGCCTATAATATGTCTCTGACTAGACCTTCATGCCTGGGAAGGTGTCCTACCAACCTATCTCGCCTATGAATTATTGACTTCCATAGCGCCCTGTGTTCTCTTATTCATTCTAATACCTCTTCATTTCTGACCTTCTCTATCCACGGCATCCTCATCATTCGCCTGTAACGCCACATTTCGAACGCTTCTAACCTTTTCTTTTCCGCCGAGACCACTGAACATGTATCACACCCGTACAGCTCCAATCATACACCTTTAACAACTTTTTTCGAATTCTAGCATAGAAGCGACTTCTTTTTATTGAAAGCGACTCGACCCTGCGCTATCCTCTGCTTTGTATCCCTACTACTCCTTCCATCCTGATTTATCTGACTTCCTAGATACCTAAGATAGCCACTTATTCTAATTTTTCGTCTCCTATCTTTTATGCCGTATGGTTCAAATTTGATACACAGTATGTAATTACAAAACAACTACATACTTACTAATAAGCCTCATTTGGAATATAACAATACGGAACTTCTTAACTTCGTAACTTTTCTCTAACTGTAATTACTTTTTTCATAAACAGTTAACTGTAATTCCAAGAAATAAACTTGAATTCATGACATATTAACCAAGTCATACTGCAAGAACTATACCGACGTTAAATAGTCGGCAATGAGTTATGATCCGGTTAGAATTTACATCTCAAGGTAAACAGACACACACCGTGCATGTAGTACCGGAAAGCACAATGCAGACAGACAGATATTTTCAATATGCAAGTATATACATACCTATGGACGATGTAACAAGTAAGTACGTGGCAGATAAGTACTCGTGTATGTATGCATGCATGCATGATGTATGCACGTAAGTATATGAGAGTATGATTCCGTACACTTACCCAATACTTTTTGCCTTTGCGCGGATTGTTTGGCGTTGCCCACGACGAAGTGCTGCCCCGCGGACACCGTTATCATGGCGTGATGAGTAACAAGAGCCCCGTGGTAGTGCACCGCAATCACAAAATGCAAATTTCGATAACCGTAAGAGGGAATGGACGATGAGATATTAATTTTTGTTTCGCCGGCGCTCGGATTATTATCATGCAATCCACGATAATAACTCCTACAGAATAATTTAACGGTAACTCGACTTAAAACAACCAAAAAGCGCCGCAATGTTGATATTCTATTATATGCTGTAACCAGTCGGCAATTATTTATTATCCTTAACAATTTGGCAGCTATGTTATAAGTCTCCTTAACAATTTAAAATCAACAAACTCACAAAATCATAACAATATCTACACGATATTTAAAAAAGAATCTGAAACAAATAGACAACAACTCACTATCAGTATATCTCTATCTTATCTGATGTATCTTTTTAGGGTCTTATCAAATCGGTACCAGGAAATACTACAGTTACCAGCTAATATCTGTATATGTGTACTGTCAGTGGCTTGGTATTAATCAGTTTAGTTCGTGATTTATCAAAACTATTTATGATGTGCTGATGATAACTAATAAGCCCGAAATGTCTCGATGCACATCTGGTGGTTCAGAAAGTTTCCCAACCTCAAGGGGCAGAAAAAGGTCTTTTCCCTTCTTCGTTTATTACTCATTTTACCAATAGAAACACATTCACAATAAAAAAAAAATGAATATCTGAGCGTAAAATTAGAATAAAAGCCTCATATTACGTTTGGTAATTTATAAATTAATAACACGCTTGGTGAAGTCCGGTTTTTAAGTAAAACTTGGATATAACAGAATGTATACCGATTTCATTATTTGACACCATTTAATATATCTAAATTTTATTATTATTAATTTGCGACAAATATGAAGATTGGAAAAACTTTGGCGGTTGTTGTAGAACAAACCCCAACGCCAAAACACGACACTTCAGTCCCTGAAGAAGGTAACCTTGTGTACTGAAAAGTGCTTCGGACAACTACAGTGTCGTATTTTGGCGTTGGGGTTTTGAGCTATTTTGTTTGTTCTATTTTGCAACAAATGTAGAGGAAGAGAAGAAAGTTCACCTAACATTAGAATTACACATTTCTTTGTCGGTAATTTTTCCTTTTAAAGCATATACGAGCGAAAATACATCATTTAGTAAACGCGTGGTATAGTTTTTCAACCAAATCTATTGAAAATATGTCATGCTTCTCTAAAAGCTGTTCTGACTAATCGAACTCTCAAAATCTTGAAACCTTGAAATCTTTAAATTGCACACGCATTTTCTTTGTAATTTATATAAAAAGATGACTGAAGATATTTGTACAGATTTTCTTCTTTCTGACGTATTTTTCAGAAGACGATGCCGTTCTTTGATAATTGCATAAAATACAATATTCCTATGTTCGGTTTCCAATTTGCTACTAATGCATTTATTTTCTAAACTATGTTTTATGTAAGTTCATGATAAGAACAGGCTTCCAGCGTAATTAATATGTGTTAGGACAACATTAATTTACGACAACTACTGATTAGTTGGATTCCTAATCTAACCGAGTATTTCAGTATCTGCAACATAAAATGCCATTGAGAAATAATAAAAAGGTTAACAGTTCTGTGTCAAATCGTTGGTATTCTAGAGGTACACAAAAGAAGTGTGAAGACAGCACGTTTCGCTTCAGTCACTACTGTGGAGCGCGGGTAGGTAACGATGACACCTAAGTTTTGTAATAATTTAAGTCCACAGAAACGCCGCTCGGCCCATTCATTGCGGCTTCGCGATAAGTATCACCGTGAAAAGGCAAATAGTTGGCGCGATTGTTATCTTACCGAGATCAAGCAGCGCCTTTGAATCGATTCTTTTCGACGGACGCTTCCGCCAACTCGACATCTCTGTTTTCCAAATTGAATAGGGCTTTCCATTGTTGTCGGTACTCATTAAATGGTTATGGCGGTTGGTCGTTTTTTTGTATTACAATTCCCTAATTAAGACAGCATTTGCAAAACCGACGAGACGTCCAATTATAGTTAACTTATTGTCAGCATTAATTACGAAATAAGACTCTTTTTAGTATTGTTATCAAGACGAAGAAATATTATCAAAAGGTTGGAAACAATGTTAGACTTTCTTAAAAGTAACTCAAACGATTATGGTTATGGATCATCACAACAATAAACCTTAAACAATTACTGACGCAGAAAGGGCAAATTATGAAGGCGAAGTGTATAATAAATGAGAACAGGACGCATTTGGATACCTAAAGTGGGTTGTCTTTACCACCACGTATATGTATATATGTATAGATAACGACTTGCCCCCAGTTTCTATGATATTCATCATTATCCAGGGATTTTTTACTGGTATAACCTATCCATTGTCACAAATTGCACGACTAAACAAGTGTGAATCCGTCAAAGTTAAGTCTTTTTCTTATTCTTTATTCTATAACAGATCTATAACCTGTTCCTTCTTTGATTTGACCTCATCCTGTCCATTTCTTCATTGCCACACATATTTCATGACCTATACAAAAGTGAAAACGGCAAAGTTAATTCTTTTTCTTCTTCTATCTTCTCTAATAGATCTTTAACCTGTCCCTTCTTCGATTCGACCTCATCCTGAATCTATATTGTCACTCCAGATTTTCTTTTTCACTTCTTTCCCTATCTAGTACCGCTTTTTTTCCATCCATTTCTTTCTCGCCCTAGTCTCTACCACTTACCCAATTTTCACAATTCCTAAAGAAGGCTAGAGAGCATCGACTGGAAAAAATGGCATACATTTTTTTTTTTTTTTAATTTTTTTGATAAACACGTTTCTTTCTATCATGTTACTGTTATCTCCACCGGCGAATGATGAGAATACCGTGGATAGAGAAGATTAGGAATGAAGAGGTATTAAAAATAATAGGAGAACAGAGGACTCTATGGAAGTCAATAAGAAATAGGCAAGATAAGTTGGTAGGACACCTTTTCAGGCATAAAGGTCTAGTCAGAAACATATTAGAGACAGAAACAGAAGTTAAGAGGAGTAGAGGTAGACATAGATTAGATTACTGGATGTGGGATGGTCTAGTTTTCGGGAAATGCGAAGATTAGCTCAGGATAGGAAAGAGTGGAGGTGCATGTCCAACCAGTTTTAGGACTGACAACCTTATGATGATGATGATATCTCCAATAAAAAATACATATATCAGATAAGACAGTAAAATAGTCCACCTACAGTTCAATAGAATTTAGATATGCTTATAATTAAATTCTTGGAACTATATCCCCTCATATACAGAGTTATTAAACTTTCTATGGTATGGAGTAAACGCCATGGTGAAAATTATGTGTAAGTGCTATGAAGCAACCGTCCTTCGAACGAGTTATACTGCTTAATAAGTAAACAATGCGAACAATTTTAAACTCTATTCAATTGAACATTTTTTTTATCTTGTGGTCATTATTTTCTTTTTTTGATCGTGAAACATAATTAGAATTCAACCATCTAATAATGCGTCAGTATTTTTACAACTATTGTGGTTCACCACCGTGGCAAGAGAGCAAGTAGACGGACTGTTGTGCAAAGGAAGACCCCCTTCCAAGGTCTCATTTGGCCCGCGTTTATTGTTACGTTTCAATGAGATACAGTTACATCTTTTTCGGGTAATTAAGTAGTTATCAAAGGCGCAGTGTATAGTGGCGTTCCAAAAGAACAATTTCCTCGTCATGTTGAACGAAGAATGAACACGTGGACGCGATTGTATAATTTAACAGTAATAATTGTTCTGCACAGCAAGAACCTTTTCTTGACGCGAGATATCAAAAGATACACGATGGAAACCTGGAGCGAATCTTCCACTAGAGTTTCACACGCTGGTACTATACCGTCCGATATTTACATGGTGTGCAACATAAGTGTACGAAATACATTTATATGTATGTAAATTCGTTTTGGAACAACACTACTGATCTACTGAAAGATTGCTAGCGGATCATTCCTCATCATTATCATAAGGTCGTCAGTCCTAAGACTGGTTGGACACGCATCTCCACTCCTTCCTATCCTGAGCTAATCTTCGCATTTCCCTAAAACTAGAACATACCACATCCTTAACGATTTGCGAACAGTAATCTAATCGAGGTCTACCTCTACCCCTCCTAACTCCCGTTTCAGCCTCTAATATGTCTCTGAATAGACCTTCATGCCTACCAACCTACCTCGCCTATTTTTTATTGATTTCCATATAGTCCTCTGTACTCCTATTCTTTCTAATACCTCTTCATTTCTAACCTTCTCTATCCACGATATCCTCATCATTCGCCTGTAACACCACATTTCGAACGCTTCTAACGTTTTCTTTTCCGCCGCGTCCACTGTCCATGTTTCGCAAAAAATGACTTGAACTTCAAATGACCCTAATCTTCTCTACTTTGAAAACATACAAATTTTGCCTAGAACTTTTCCGAAATAATCAGTAAAGATATTTTATTGACCGAAAAGAAATTTGCCACAACAGTTTAACAAATTCTTACAACTTATATATAATGCAAGTCCATTATCAATAAATGAATAAAGAAGGGTGAAATAATTGCTAAGACTTAAATAGTATAAATAAAGTCGTTTTAAAGAAGACACTTTTATTACTACATTCGATAAATTCTTCCACCAGTTCCTGATGTGTACATGGAAAGTCGTTTCTGTTGTTATAGTGTTCGTAAATCTACAATAAAAGTGAATCTGTTTTATTATTAGTAATTTCTCAACGACGTATTGCGGTCTGAAAAACACCAGACAGTTTGCCAACTATTGTCGGTGATATTCCTACATTATGGAGAAGTTCTACTAACTTACTTTCTATAATACTACATAAACACTTAAAGCACATCTATCAAAAGAGAAGCTTTCACAAAAACTGTAACTATAAAAGATTGAACCAAATGGTAATTTCCAAAGACACACATGGCGTGTTATTTTAAGAAGTTTTCTAACATCTACAGTAGATGAAGCGTTTGTTCATGCATAAATAGAAAAATAAAAAAGGATTGTCCATGCCCATTTCTGTACAAGTAGTTTATACGGTTGCTAACTAAGTATAGTACTTACATCTATTAAACGGTAATTACGTTTATGTCTGCTATTCTAATCCCTATTTCAAAATCGAAAAGACTTAAACGTTTAACGATGAATAGAAGAAACGCGTGCAGAAACTTCTTTCTTAATAATTGACTTTTTATTATTTAAATGAGTCTGAACGACCAAAGATGCGAAAAATGTTAATACCATTATTATCTCTTTAGACACTCAATC